ATATATATTTTTTTTTTTTGTGTCTGTGTTAACTGTGTATAAGTGCCAAGAGTAGAAATTGTGCGATTATGTCATTATTGCGGCATTAACGCTAGCCCATGATCAGTACCACCGTCACTATTACCTCTGACGGTACCTCACCGTTTTCATCACTTTCTGTGGCTACCACGTAATTCATCATTTCCCACTATGATATCACCACACATATCTGATAATGTGTCGTATCTGTCACTTTTCTGCAATATGGAGAAGTATGAGCTCTGGTTCTAATTCTTCAGCGAATATTGTCGGGGTATTTCACCAATCACCGATTGATTTTTGGACTAATTGCTATTGATCACCTATTTCATCACATATATTTTAGAATTGATGAAATTTGTAAATTAGAGAATGTTTATTTTTTATATTCGTCTGTGATTTTAAATTATGATTTATAATTCTTTATAGTATTTTTTTTTATAAAAAATATACGTAAAATGAGAATAATTTTAAATCATGATTCTAAATATATAAATCAAACGTCTCTCTAGTGATTAGCAGTAAGAAAATTGGCGATTTAGCTTGGATATCAGGTAATTCGTTCATGGTAATAAATTGAAAGGAAAAAAACCATGGCATTGATTGAAACGTTGAATTATAAGGACTCTCAAATTGTCTGACAAAATATTGCAACCTGATAGCTGGCTTGGCACTGGACAATACGTGGAAAGCGGCTGGAGAAATTGTTGGACCACACTCATCAATAGGGACTCTTCTATATGTCCCAACCTTTGCTGATTATGAATAGAGAATGACATCACAACAAATTCCTCTACGCAGGCAAATGGCCCACCAAAAGAGAGATTAGGATCACCCTCTTATATTTAGATGGGATGGGTAACAAAGGCCTACTTGAACAGAAAGCCCAAATTTCCTGTCCTAAGGCCTGTTTTTTTTTTTTTTTTGGGTGTTAATCCTCACAACCCAAAATCACTTTGCATGTATCTGGACTATGCTTTTGACCTCATTCAAAGACAGCAATTTGCTTGGTCTTCCCCCATTGATCGAAGCATACTGATTATAGAAATGCAAAACACTGCTATCGGTACTAAGAAGTAGATATGATTATTTTAAAACCTCAGTTGTCAAATGATATAGTTCATTGATATCATAGAAATCTCATATATTACAATGCTATTGGACATCGATGATGATGAATATAAACCATTGATAAAAGATGAGTCATGTAACATGGGGTTAATTTGTGAGATCCACTAGATGGCGTCTCCAAACATTTTTCTATCAGTTATAATACAATTTATTTAAATTAAAGAGTCGTACGAATGATGATGAATAGAACTGGTATAAGATTTTGGCTTTTGGGAGTATCAAACCAAGTAAGCAATGAAACATACTTAGTACTAATTGGCTTGTTTTAAACTAAATGAAAATTAAGCTCCCAAATATACCATTTTTTAGGTTAAATATGTGTACCCTGATCCCTTCTAATGTTAACCCAATATGAACGGCCAATGTACGTAAATATTAATACTCTCCGTCTTTTTCATTGCCTTCTTCTTTCTCGAACTTTATTTTGGGACTTTTCTTGAACCTATTTATTATTCTCAAGAATCTCATAACTTTTTGACCAATTTTTTTAGGACATATAGACTTAGGAATGTGAATGGAGTAGACTAGAACATGAAATATGCTCATCCCATCCTTATCTTATAGTACTATATATACATATATATATATATATATATATATATATATATATATATATACTATCTCACATCTCGACTTAGCGTTAGCATTTTTCGTCGAGTTTGGAGGGTTCACTATCATTGTTTGAAGACCATCCTATGTGAAAGAATAACCAATGTTCTAAGAACATAACACATTTTAGCTTGTTAAAGAAAACTTGACAACTTGTATTAACCCTAGCAATTTAGATTTATAAATGACGATCCAGTTAACATTACACTAAAGACACGTATGCTCAAAGTAAATATACATTTTGTGTATACACGCAGTATTCCAGAAAGCAAACGTTTTTCAACACATGAAATTAAATTTGTTTATCTCATGATGGTTAAGGGTGAAAATCACAAGTACAGTACGTAGTTTTTATAACTTTTATGATTTGCAGGCCGACAATAAGTACGTGGTACATTATTCATTAGAATCTTGTGCAAGTATTTTTATTTATTATTATATTTTTTGAAATAAAGACATGCAAGTCATTAATAGGATGTTTGGTTGGAGGATTCAAACTGTGATTTGAATCATGGTTCATAATTCACAATAGTGTTTTTTCTCACAAAAAATACACGTAAATCGAAAATAGTTATAATCACATGATTCTAATTCATGAACCAAAATATTCTTTTAAGGTCACGTTCATTTCACTGATTCGAGTTTAGATTTCAAGTTTTGTTACAGTAAAAAGCTCTCAAAAACAGTCACATCTAACTTTTTTTTTACAGTAAAAAGTTCTCATATAAAGTTATATCTTAACTCAAATTAAAAACTCGAATTAATAAACTGAACAAACACATAGACATAAACTTGCTACAGTAAATCTTTGCCAATTGCTGTGCATACGAGCTCATAAATATTACTCAGTCCGCGAAAATTTCTTCTTGGTTGGAAGTTTGAAATCGTAAAAAAAAAATAACCAATGTTAAACAAACACTTATATTGTTCTATATATCGTTCGTCCAAAAACGAGCAAATTACATATAGCTAACCGACAATGTGATGGACAGAAACTTGTCCATTCTGCCATCACCTAACTTTTCTAAATTATGTCATATATTGAAGAAAAGAATGAGTACCTAATTAACAAACAAGAAGGAATAAGAGGACAAAAAAAATCTAATTAATTAAGAGGAAAAAAACTGGCATGCTGCAGAAAAATAACACGAATAAAACAAGATCAACAACCAGTTTTAACCAATTGTTTGACCAAATGACGAGAAGGACAAGTGACCCATTCCCACGCGGTATTGGGCTAGAATCCAGTAGGACCAACCCAATCGACAAATTGGTTGGAGGGGGACAGTGTGGGTCCCACTTTTGGGTGTCAATTTTGTGTCCCCACTCCCCCAAAATCTTTGATCCCGACAAAAAAGAAATAAAAAATGAAAAGATAAAAAAAAAATGAAGTTAATTAATGAAAACGTGAACAATAAATAGGTTTAAGGTCTCATTTATTTTATTAATTTTAAATTTTTATAATTAAAATTTTTTAAAAAATATCACATTTAATTTTAATTATTATAATTAAAAATTTTAAAAAAATATCATATTTTAATTAAAATTAAAAATTTAAATGTGTGAAGTAAATAAAAGCTAAATCTATGTACATACGTACAAAAGACTTGAACCTGTCCAATCTCCTTTCGAGACTTTTATAACTAGACAAACTTCCTTAATGGTGTGTACTGTGTAGTGTTGAAGGTGGCCCCACGTCTAATTAAGTTTCGTTTATTTTACTGATTTAAGTTTAAAATTTGAGTTAAAATGTGATTTTATGTGATCATTTTTTACTGTAATAAAAAAGTTAAATGTGATTATTTGTGAAAACTTTTTACTGTAAAAAAACTTAAATTTTAAATTCAAATCAGCAAAATAAATAAGGCCTTATAAAGTTAATCACCAGTGCTGATCTGTTGAGGATTATCACAAATACAAAAGTGAGGGTATCTCTTTATTAATTAGTCTTATGAATTAAGCATGAAATTTCTCATTAGTGTTATGTGGTCATCACTCATCACTATGATGATGAATGCCACTATCATATTTGCTAACCAAGCATTACTATACAATTTTAACAAAACGAAATACGAACTTAAGTTAATTAATGTACATATTTTTTCATTGAATTTTTTTTAACCATATTTAAGGTTAAATAAATATACACTATATTGATATAATATTGATAACTAACATTATTATAAAAAGCTTTTTAATTTAATCACTAATTTCTTTAATAATTGAGCAGACATAATTCAGAAAAATGGAATTTTTATGGTAAGAAATTGTTCTTTTTA